GTAAAGTTTCTGGTCTTTTATAAACGTAAAGATTCTGGTCTTTTATAAATGTAAAGTTTCTGGTCTTTTATAAACGTAAAGTTTCTGGTCTTTTATAAACATAAAGTTTCTGATCTTTTATAAACGTAAAGTTTCTGATCTTTTATAAATGTAAAGTTTCTGGTCTTTTATAAACGTAAAGTTTCTGGTCTTTTATAAATGTAAAGTTTCTGATCTTTCAGAGATTTTCAACATTTCAGGATGAATTTGACTTCTAACATCAGATTTTTACTGAAGACATTTAAAAACACTTTTTATTTTTTAGGTGTTAAAGTTTGTGAACCTTGGTTTTCAGGCGTTTAACAGAAAATACAGATTTAATGAAACCAGACGGTTCTGCTGGAACCAGCTGGTTTATTTTTTTATTTAATTTCTTTTACATCAAAAAACATCAGATTTACGTTTATCTGCTGATAAAAACTGGATTACTGAACAGCCCGCTGGTCCAGTTTGGTCTAATCTTGTTTGGGTTTGGTCAAGTCCGGTTCAGGTAAAAAAAATAAAAGTTGTGGACTCGTCTACATTTATTTTCAGACGCTAAAGAACTGGATCCTCATGTTCTGCATGCTTGTGTTCAGAAGGGTGATGGTCCAAACTGACTGGTTGTAGACAAAGAGCCATCCAGAGGACCTGGCTTAACTTTTTTAGATTTTTCTACCTGGATTATAGAGCATGCTTCAGGATTAAGAGCAATGGGTTCTGAAGGAGGCTAGCTGGTCCGACATCAGTTCCTGCAGGACTTTATGATGGGATGGGAGGTAAATCTTATTTTAGATGCATAAAAGAACCGATTTTGAGAATTTAAGAAAGTGTTTTTGATTAGGAGAGTCGGGTGTAGCGTCACCTCAGCTTCCTGTAGTCGAAACCAAAACCTGTAGACCTCAGTCCAGAACTTAGGGGCCGAGATGGCGTAGAGGTAGGGCAGCCGACTTGGGATTAGAAAGTTGCAGGTGCAACTCCCCTCCATGCCCACATGTCGTGGTGTCCTTGAGCAAGACACCCAATCCCTAATTGCTCCCCGGGCACTTGCATAGCTGCCCACTCTCCACCTGGGTGCATCTCAGGTGTGATGGGTTAAACGCAGAGCACAGAACCCAGACCAGGACCGGCTGTCCTGTCTGCTGGTCCCTTCAAACAATAAAAACCGAGGTGGGACCATGTTTACAGGTGGGACCCCGGTACTTCTCAGCCTGATGCCGTTATGCTGTGCTCCAACTTTCAGGTTGTTCAGCTTTAAAAAGGGATTTTTCAGAATAAAGGCGTTTTTTATTTTCAGGCTGTATTGGATCAACCTATCATCTGTTTTCAGTCTGACTCAGAACTCAGATGGAACATCTGACCCACAGGCGGGCAGGTTTTTTTTCTGGTTCTGACTGGGTTCGAGGCCCGTTTCCTTCTCTCGGAGTGGTTTCCATCCTGTAACATCCTGTTTGTTCTCGGCGTGCGGCGCAGCTGCGAGCGCAGAACCTGAACGTGCCCTTGAGAGGTTTCTGTGGTTCTCGTGTGCTCGTGTTTTGTTTCAGATGACCTCATCTTCTCACTCGGTTAGACCTGCCACTCTGTTGGACTGAAAACATGATTCATGTTCTTCAAGGAAATTATTACCTTCAGGGGAAAAAAATAAAAAATCTGCAAAAATGTGCCCAAAACTCCAGCAAGCATCAACGTTCTTCTCTTCTACAATAATCTAACTCCACAGACAGACTCTTATTGTGAAACTCCAGGCTAGAACCTCGTCCAGGGTTTTGTTTTCGTGGATTTTAAATCCTGATTTTGATTCGGTTCTCCTGAAATGATCTTTTGGGGGCGGCCATGATGTAAACAAAAAAACGAAGAAGTTGTGGTTTTAGGTAGAATCGGTTCCACAAACTATTCACAGATACAGGAACTGGACCCCAACGGAACCCGGTCTTATTTGATCAGCTAAAATCTACAGAACTAAAATCCCTGCTCGTTCTTATTTTAAATTCTTTATATTTTCATATTTATAAGCCAGCTAATAAAGATTTGTGTTTTCCAGCTGTGAATGTTCTCTGTTTATTGAGTTCTGGTGGTTCTGGTGGGTTCTGTTGTCTTGCGTCCAAAGGTTTTCTGTTTATCGTCTTGTTAAATGAAAACGTTTAAAGAGAAATCCAACACTGTGTCTTTTTTTTTTTCAGGATTGGAAGGAAGATGAAGCGTCTGCCCAACTCGACGTCAGAAACATCGTTGAAGCTGAAACTGGAACCGCTGAAGGAGTACAGCTTCGCCGTCCGGGCGCTTTACAACCACACCGAGTCTTCCATGTCCAGCAGGATCACCTTTGCTCCCTTCAGAGACAGTACGTCAGCAGGACCCCAGCCTGGTTTAGGACAGGCCCGTTAGAACCTGATGGGGCTTTTAACGCGTCTTTATTGGCTTATTACAGAATAAATCCGGTTTTAATGTAAAGATTATAATGTTTTACATGCAGCTGAATTTCAGATTGTTTTGATCCTCAGCTCGTTCAGTGAGGCAGAACTTTTAAAGTTTTGCTTGTTTGTTTGTTAAAGCCACCATCGGACCTCCAGCGCTCGCTCTAGCCGGGTGTGGAATGTGTATCCAGGGGAACATTTCACTTCCTGATGCTGACAGAGACTCGGGCGTTCCAGACATGTTCAGCTTTTACAGGCCCCGCTTCAACGTGATGTGGAGGAAAGAAAAGGACGAAAAAATAGCAGTAAGAAACAAATGGACTCGCTTCTGCTTTCTGCTTGTACACGTTCATGTTCGTGTAGATTTGGATCCGGACAGACTGTTCTTATCAGCAGAACAAGTCGTGTTCTTATGGTTTGTTCTAAGTTCTGGAAGTTTAAAATCAACTCTGGATCCGCAGAATCAGATGACCCACAAGTCCAACATGGCCGCATCCTCATAAACATTACAGATTGTTTCAGTGCATTAAATCAGACAATAACAGAGTTCTGCTCGATCTCTGGTTCTGCTCGATCATCTGGTTCTGCTCGATCATCTGGTTCTGCTCGATCTCTGGTTCTGCTCGATCTCTGGTTCTGCACGATCATCTGGTTCTGCACGATCTCTGGTTCTGCTCGATCTCTGATTCTGCTCGATCTCTGGTTCTGCTCGATCTCTGGTTCTGCTCGATCATCTGGTTCTGCTCGATCATCTGGTTCTGCACGATCATCTGGTTCTGCACGATCTCTGGTTCTGC